CTGCTGCTGCTCAATGATCACAGAAGATGACGTTTGGCCACAAGGCTCCAACCCTCCTTCAACCGATATACCACACCCATCATTAAGACCATTTAGTTGCTGTTGTAGCTCTGATACATCATCTTCCATAGGCCCTTCTTTGAATTCCTCCAGTTTTGCACTTTCTTCCGAAACGATTTTCTCTGACGTTCCATCCTCCTTAATAAACCAACACATGCTAATAATCAAATTTAAAAATTCACCATCTCAAAACACATTCAATATTAAACATACAATGATTATGATAAATGCAATACTGCTCATTGCAGAGATACATCCTTTGACCGACTCACATAATGACCAATACAAATGCTCACTGACCAATACAAACAAATACCACCAATAACCAACAAATAAACGAATCACAAATCCACAAAACTACCTCATAACTGATTCCATCTTCTTGTTGCAACTGTCCTCGTGCCACAACGATCGTACCGTCCACCTCTGATTGAATCAAACTGTCCATAAACCCCTCACCCAGTTCCTCATGACTACCTCCGCCTTCAATCAACTCCTCAGCAAATTCATCATCGATCTGATTCTCGTTCAAATTGCCCTCCTCTCCTTCGCTATTCAAATAGAACGTTTCTATCAATCGATCGCAATCTTCAGCCAAATTCTCGTACGGTTCCCACGTATCATCTGCTTCGTCAAATCCCAACCATCTCACTTTATACAACGTTCGACCGTCTTTATCAGTCCTTATAGCGATTATCTTCTCAACCTGAAAATTTCATTCATATCCCATCAATCAACCAAGCTATCATCACTAAATCCCGCTGATTTCTTCATAAAACCGATCTCATTTCAGGATAATATATCAAAATACTCATTTTACGAACAAAATTAAGTTCAAACCTCAAAAGTCTCTCCGCTCGTATTCATCGCTGAAAACGACGTGTCCATATTGAATCGCCTGTTAACCACCTCTCAAGTCCAGTCCAATTGAATCGATTAAATCGTCC